GCTTAAAAAGAAGGATAGGCAGGGTCAGACCCTCAGATGTGCGAGGATTCTCCAACGATAGACGTGTACGTGTGCTGATCTTTGTAATTATAAATTGTGAATACATGTGACTAATATTATTTTCTTTTTTATTTTGTGCATGTTACAAGTTATAAATAAATATAAACAAACAACACTAACTCTATAACATTAACTCTAAATACCAAAATGATTAATTTACTGTGTTTTTGTTATTTATTATTCCTGTTTTTAAGTATTTGGTATTCGGCCGAATAGTGATTAAATATTCGGTATTCAGCCGAATAGTGATTAAATATTTGGTATTCGGCCGAATAGTGAAAAATAGGCCGAATACCGAATAGTAACCGAATATTCATTACATCACTATTGAAAATCTAATAACAGAGCATGTAATATTAAATACAACATAAATTTGATTATCCAAAACTCTGGATTATCTGAAATGGTTTAAAAAAAAACTAGAACATGTAGCATTATATATATCATAGTTTAATACACAGATGCCAAACTCTCCATGTAACTGGAAATTACTATGTCATCTGTTGATTGTAGTACCACAAAGCTAAGTCAAATGTACAAACATTACATTAGATTTTGAATGAATTAATTTACTTTCAAATACAGCAATTGCATTACAATATTTCTAGTCCATAAAACTTTAAGTGCACAGTGCTTAATGCATCCAAAACACAAAAACAAACAAGTTTTTTGATTGTCCAAGATTTCGTTTATTCAAAAGACCCTTGGTTTCATCAAGTTTGGATAATCACGTTTCCCCTATAGTTAATGTAGGATGATAATTTGTAGTTAGAATAGTATAAAGTATTGAATTAAAAACAAAAAAAAAAAAGAGATACAGCCAATTCTGTTTTTATATGATAGCTACATATGTGAAAATTTTATGTAAAAAGATATTGTTCATATATAAAAATGGTAGTTTAATTCCAGATCTTAAAAATCAGTAAAAACATTAAATAAACCCATTAATAAGATGTAAATAAAATATTTCAATATTAATTAATAAATTGGAGAAACTTATTTAATATAAATTTATTAAATTTTGCTNAAAATAACAAATTCACTAACACCTTATTTGCCAAGAAAAACATATCTATGTTAAGTAAAGACAGTTTTTAAAACCACATTAATTAAAATTTTTGCTGCAATTAATTTCACATATTAATCAAATCCTGTGTAAGTAGTGGCATGCAGTGACATTTGATGGGGAAGCTGTTGTGGCCAACTTGGCAACACCTCACCATGTCCCCAGATTTAGTCTTTTGTCTCCCTCTCCAGTTCATTCTTACCACATGCATTGTACTGGTGCCAGTCCTTGTACTCGAGTTCCAAATAAAATTATTTTATTTTTTAAGATTCTGATTATTTGGTCTAAAACCCAAACTGTTTCCATAAAAAATTTTGAACAAATACAGGAAATGACAAAAATAAACAGTTTATTTTAATTCTAAAATAGATAATTTACATAAAACGAAGATATAAGAACTTGTTTTTATTATTTTTTATAAACTATTTGGTGATTTTTTCCTGCAAAGTCATTAATTACTTTATCAAAAAAATCATTTGTCGTTGATTCCATCAAAGTATTTAAAAGCTCTTTTCCTATTGAAAGCAATGCTAGTGACAACAATCTTTCCTCCAACTGAGTGTTCCTTGCAAATGTATCAACTCGCTTCATGGTTGAAAAACTGCACTCAACAAATGCACTCGTAGATGGTACCATGAAAATTAACGATATTAAATCATATAATTCTTTTAGTACATCTTTGTTCAGATCGTCATTAATTATAATACATTTTATGTCCAAGAGTGACTTGCCAATTTAGTATGGACACGAATATAAATATTGCAATCCACTACATAATTTAAATAAATTAAAAAATTCTCCATAAAATTTACTTAATTTAAAGAATTAAAACTCGCTTTGGAAAATTGTTTTTCATAATATTTAAAATTATTAACGTCTAAAAGTGATAAAAATTCTCAAGATTTTATGTCTGAAAATCTGTCAATATAATTATAATTAAAAAACATTATAATTAAATATAGCTTTCTAAAGAAACGTACATAAAAATAACATAAAATATTCTTTACTTTTTAAATCTTAAAACAATGCACTTAGTCAAATAGCTCTGTATGAGTGGCTAATGGATAGAATCATTGGAAGTGTTATACGATATTTTGGTGTGTAGCATCCACCAGCTAAACCACATGAGGTTGGTGCTCTGTAAAGCGCATGTGCAAATGCATATAATCTGGATGCTTTACACCATTCAAATATTTTCGCTGTGGAAGCCATTCCGTATTCGACAATACAGCGCTTCCATTGCAAATATACATATGTGAATTCATATTCAAATATACAATAGCAATCTTATCATTGTTTTTCACAGGTATAGAAATTTGTAATAAAATACATAATGTGGTTATAATAAAATATTAATTTTAAGTAATTTAAAGTGTGTTAAAATATCAAAATATTCACACAATATGTATTTATGTTTTAGAAAATACAAGGGAAGCAGCACTTCCACAGCTTCCCTAAACAGCACGCCACTGTGTGTAAGCAAGAAATACTTGTACTATGTAATGTATAATTTTAAATAAACATATTGGTATATGTTAACTGTCAGCAAGAACAAAGAATAAACTTAAATACAGACAAACCTCAAACTTTTTCTTCATGACTTCTACACTATCATTAGGATCTTCTGTAGTTAACATTTTTTCCTATAAAGTTTATAAAAAATGATTATTTAATTTATTTTTCCTTATAATATCTAGTTTTAAAATATTTAATTATTACCTTATCTTTCATCCAAGCTTCAAAATCATCACATTCTCTATAGAAACCAAAAAGACATATTGCATCTTCTAAATATAAACGTCTCTCCTAGATAATGAAAATAACTTTTATTAATATATTTTATATATAGTTTAAAGAATATAATAAATGACATTAAATCATTAACAAGTAAATTGTAAAAAAATGTTATTTTTCAGCACTTCTTTTATAATATATATTTAAATACTTGGAAAAAATCTGGATATAAAAATATAAAGAAATTATGATCACATGCTATCTAAACATTGTCTGATTGAATATTAATTTTGATATATGGTTAATATATCAAAATAGTATTTAGTATTTAGCATTTAATAATCTATATAATTATATATTTAGTTAATGGCTTCAAATAGCTTCAATACCTCTTAATGAATTTATTGTATAAAACAGATTGTAATCATATGATTTTCTAGATTTTGGACAAAAGCCCATTGAATATTTTCATTATATAAAAGAAATTAAATCATTTATAGAATATGGTAAAATAATATACAAGATTTATGTTAATTTAAACTTATAATAAAAAATACTATCTAATTTTTTATTCAGAAAATTGCACCAACTGATAATTAAAAAAAAATCAAACGTTCATCCTCAACTTAGTTATAAATAATGTAAAATATACTCAAAATAATTATTCTCATATTTTCTTTGAGTTTAGATTTTAAAAATTTTTAAATAATAATTATTTTTAATTTATTACTTTAATTGAAAGTTATAATTTTAATATTACCTGTGACAATTTAACAAGATGTTCATAAGCTACATTGATTACATTCTGACGTTCTTTTACATTTTCTCCTTCTTCGGGTTTACTAGATGATCTAGATAATGTCCTTTCTATCGGATAAACAAAATAATAACATGTAATAATTATTGCTGTTTATTTGTTAAACTAATATATTGACATTTTCATAAAAGAATAGCTTCAGGATTAACGTAGCATAATACTAATTTAAGGATTGAAATTTATATTAGTGGAGAATATTCAGATCAAAGTAAAAACTATTTGTTGATGTTAGATAAATAATTAAATATAAAAAAAGTATAAACAAAAAATATATACACAGTATATATATGTATACAATTTCATTTAAATATTTTTGTAAATTATATAAATTCATTCAAATATGCTAAGGCAAAATCTACTTCCAATTCATTAAAGTACTTTTGTATTAATTATATTTACATTTTTACATCATTTTAAAGTATATTTGGATATAGATGAGCCCTATTGCATCAATTTTACTCTTTAATTCATTTAAAGTAATTAGAAAAAAAAAATGCACACAATTTCATTCTTGCCTTAATGGCACTCTGTCCTGCAATTCTGGCTATTGAGTTTACTCCCATGAGCCCGTACAATATAAAAATGCTTCTGAAAATAACTTTGAGTTGAGATTTTTCTATTCATCCCAATTAGTGTGTGTGTGTGTAATATAAACTATTTTTCAATCTTAAATAAAGAGTTATTGACTTACTTATCTCAGGAGATTTATCTTTTTTCCTCTTAATGACTTTCTTTTTTAATACAGTCTTCTTAACTCGTTGTTTCTCAGGAACTTTTACTGGTTGTTTTACAACTTTTCTTACTATTTTTGGCTCAACTAATTTAACATAATTTGCAGGAACAAAACCATCTTGTCCATTTGCTTTTCTGACATTCCACCAATCAGCATTTGTTTCGTGAATTAATATCATTACCTGAAATTATTATTATGGATATATAAATTGAGTAATTCAAATTATAAAATATGATTAAATATTTGTTTAATTAACATTAATTTTAAATTAAATACTAATAGTAAATATCTTTATTAAATAATGAAATATATAAATAAAATATAAAAATCAATAAAAAATTTTTGAATGAAATGTCATCTACTAATTATATTTGTTTATATTTAATTTTCATTATAGAATATATTATTAAAGATTTAAAGTATATTACTGTATATGTATATAATTACATAAGAGTAGTATTTAATTGAAAAATATATATTAACTAGCTGGTTACATCTGGCTTTGGCCAGGTTTATAAAGTATTTGTAGCAGTAATTGTAACAACCAGTGTTATTAATTGTAAATTTGAAAAATGTATGTGATAAACCCATTTTATGAACATTATCAGAATGCCTATAAACTATGTAGAAGTACTTGTATGTTCTCAGAAATAGTGAGTTTATAGAAAAATTATTAGAATTAGTTTGGTTTATTTTGTTATAATAATGCAACATGTTGGGATCTGCCAAGGGAGATGCCTTGCAGGAAGACTTTTATGTGAAGCTGGCCCCCTATTTAAGTGTTACTAATGTGAAGAAAACTTGGAAAACTCCTTGTGGCTGGTCTGTTGGCAAGATGCAAACCCATGAGCAACTACAGTGTTCAATGGTTTTATCTACTCGGCCACTGATGGGCACTTATTAGAATTAAGAAAGTACCATTCAGAAATGAAACAACCCGAGTTGTTATTTGTAGAAAGTTAAATACCTATAAAGTTTCACAGAGTAACACTTTCAACTTCAAGCAGGCAAGAACTATGTGCTACCCATTGCAGTAATTAAGTAAATATATTTGTTTTTAAAATTACAGTAGAGCATCGATTATCCGACCCTCGATTAACCGTCACATCGGTTAACCGACCGTTCTAGTTGGCAAATTTCAAATCTTTGCTAGTGATGTGGACTACAATATTTGGCTATGTCTTGGCTACTTTAATATTATTTTTGTTAAATTTTTGCGTGTTTTAGTTGGCAACCCTGACTCAACCATTGAAGAGAGGTCAGTATTTAAACGAGACTTAATTTTGTAATTATGAGTGGTTTTGTAATTATGAGTGGTTTTGTGAGCAATAAAATAATTTAAAAATAATTTTTAATGATACAATAGCGACGATTATTATTTTTAAAAAAATTTCTTAGGCTTAACATAGATGAAAATTCAACGCGAAGTTGGTTAATAGCGATATACTATACTAATTACATGGGATATACTAATATACTATATTAATAATGTATTTTTTTTTTTCCTTTTTTTCAGTTATCCGATTTGTTCAGTTATCCGACCAACCTGAGTCCCCAATTGATGCTCTACTGTATATCCTTTTTGACTAGAGCAAGAGAAGACTTTATATTGTATAGCCTTTGTTTGTCAATTTTTACAATTATTGTCCTGACAATTTTATCAACTGTAGAATATACAATTGTATCAAATGTATATAATGCCCATGTGTTGCATTGCGACAGGTGGACGATGTGTGAAGGGGGATGCCTCCTAGGAGGGAGTTTTATGAAAAACTGGCTCTATTTAGGTGTTACTAACTTGAAGAAAACCTGGAAAACTGCACATGGCCAGCCCGTTGGTGATGGGTTCACCCATGACTGACTATGAGTATAACAGTTTTGATTCCACACAGGTAAGTGCCAAATGCTACTCATCAAAGTAATTATAGCAATTATAGCACAAAGTATTATTACTTTGTGCTATATCATTGTTGCAGTAACTAAGTGAATATACTGTAATAATATTTGTTTTTTTTAATNCCTATCAGGCTGCGATTGGCTCATGTATTTAATCATTCCTACAACGTAAAATTCGATTAGCGTGGAACGTATCTAAGCGTTATAGGGGGGTCTACAGTATATACATATTAATTTATAATGAAAGTACATATAAGTTAAAATAATAATGTCTCATCACGAAAAGCTCATCATTAAAAATTCATAATTAAAAAAAAAACTATATATTTTTAATGTGATTTCTTTTTGACTCCTTCCATCCATGAGCACTAAGAGGGTCTTTTAATAAAGCCCATTTCGGGTTTGGTCAGGCCCACAATGAGGTAGTCAAGTGGTGAGAGACATATCCAAGATGAACCACCTTCAAAAAATTCCTGGGACCCATCCAGATTCGTTCCTGAGTCCCCATAAAGGTTGGCTGGCATCTTAACCACTCTGGTCATCTTTTTAGTACGATTGGAAAAACTTTGTCATAAATGATAAAATACAACTTCATTTACCTGATTGAAATCCACTTTCTTTTGCTCTTTCTTTTCCAATATTTAACATATCAGAATTAATATCACAAACTACGACTTGGGAACTAAAAGTATCACTTTCTATTTGTTCATTTTCAACAATCTCACTGTATGGATTTGGAATATCATTAATAACAGAAGTGTCTTGATTTTCCAATCTTGAATATTTCAGAAATCTGAATGCAATATCACCTGTAAAATTTTGTATGAAAAAATTATTTCATTTATAACATTGAATGTTTAAAATTATAGAATTGTAATTATACAATATTATTATTGAATTCATTCTTAAGTTAAACTGTAACAATCTACTGTTAGAATATTATCAATTTTTTTTGTTTTGTTATTAAAACTGAAGGAGATCATTTCTGGATGCTACAGAAAAACTAATAATTTTAAAAATAGTAAAACCACATAGCAAGCAGAAAATTGTTTAATCAATGAGAAATACAAAATGAAGGCTCTATATTGCTCATGAGAAGCCATAACGAGCAAGCACTACAGGGCAACTGTAAACTGTCATGCATCAACTGATTTGAAATGTTTTTAAATTTTAATTAATAGTTATTTCTAAAAAATTTACTTTATGTTTTTGTTGTAATGAAAGAGCTCCTTGAAGATCTCTTCCTGGTACAACAGCTTTACAAATTCGTTGCCTTTCTATCACCCATGCCTCTTCTTCCTCATGATCTTGAACAAATTGGAAATAGACTCTGGATTCCTCTAGTTTATCTTTTCGGGCTTTTGCTAATTGTAAAAGACTAAGAGAAAGTCATCATATTAATAAAAAAGTAAAATAAAATTAATTATAATAATTTAATTTAATACATTTTGCTTAACTAAAAGTTAATATAAATTATATCTTAATTCATCAAAACTATATTAAAATAAACATAAACATTTAAAAAACTGACTTCTTCTGATAAAGTTATCTTAGTCCATTTTAATAATTTATACTTGTATTTTATATATAGGATGTTTTTATACTTTACATTCATCCAGGTACAAAAGATATCTTTTCATCATTGTGCAAATATATGCATATGGTGCATTAATTCCATTGCAATATTTATAGTAAAATAAATTATCATAATAAATAGGTTCATTCATTCAAAAAAGGAACATGTGTAAATTGTACTGGAGTTCTATGGCAATATGTAAATTTTTTAAATGTAAGAACAAGATGCAAATTAAAATTCAATCCTGACAAGTCATGTAGTATCAATGCTTTATAACCATGAATACTACGGTAAAATGATTATTCTTTATGAGGATAGGAGAAGAAATTCATGAGAAGCAGTACATAGATTCCACAAACACTTTCCAGCTGCATCAATACTTACACTTATGACAAGTCTGAATATAATATACTGCTTGATACAAACTAGTAGCATAGTCAAAGGTAATGGTCCAGATTGTCCTCATCTTCACAGTGTTAAAGTATTGGCATATTTCCAGGCATATTCACAGACAAGCATAAATGAAGCAGCAAGACAAAGTGAATTAAAACAAATACAAATACTGTACATCAAATTTTAAATTGTTTTAGTTTGCAATAATTCAACTGCAATCTGCAACTGGGAAGTATGCATGGGATAAAAAACAGCAATTTAACTGGTGCAACATGATACTAAATTTATGCCAGATCACACCATGACTGCTTGACCACACTATAATTCATATTGCAAGCAAAATACACAACACTAGATGCATTTTACACTAAACATCTCATGCGGATCTGGAATCTGCAGATCTGAACAACTTCTTGGTCCCATATTCATCAATGGCATCCTGACTACTGATTGATGCCTTAATATCCTATACATGATAGTGGACAAATGGCTGGACAACAACTTACCTTAGAGCAATTGCAGAATGTTTGGTATCAGAAGGATACTGTGCCAGCTTATTCCTGAACAGACATGCATCAGTGGGTCATAGAGCAATTCAATGACCAATGGATAGAACAATGTAGCCCTTTTCCATGACCATCACATTCACCATACTTAACCTCCTGGATTTTTTCCTGTGGAGTAATCTACAAACATCAGGATATAATGTGTACTAAGCAGTCCTGCATGATATTGACAAACTGGAGAGNTTCGCATTCATGTACACCACTAATATCCAATAGAACTATTTTAAACAGGTCGCTGCACTACCACCGAATTTTTCATTGCTTGTTCTGTGACAAAACTGAATTTTGGTCTTTTAAATTGAAATACCTAAATAAGGGGAGACCAAAATTTTCCTCTGCCCCGGGCGGCTGACACCCACAGTACGCCACTGGACCAGTAAGACCTAGGTTTTCCCCAGTCATTGCAACATTTACAAGTTTACATGAGGCAATTCAAACCTGTTCATTATCTCATCAAGAACACATGTTTGACATTGATACTGCAAGTTGTTTTAGTAAGAGCTACTAGATCTAACATTTCTTCCTTCATATTTACGTCTGCAGATACATAGCAGACAAAAATGGCCAATTGGGGATCATCCTGAATGTCTGTAGACTCATTGAGAGCTAAAATGAATACCATATAATTTTTCAAATCACACATCAAACTATTTTCAACATTTTTTACTAACTTCACTAATATGATGATCAGTTGTACATTGTGACATAGTAACTTGTGCCATCAATTTATGCAGTTTTGTATCATCT